TAGTGTTATTTTATTTATTATATTAATTAACAGAGCAGCCAGTAAGCGCCCTGGCTTATATGGTAATTGGCGCTTGTGTTATTTCATTTATTTAATTAACAAACAAAGTGGCCAGTTAGCGCCCCGGGTAGTGTGGTGATTAGCGCTTGTGTTATTTTTTTTATTATATTAATTAACAGAGCAGCCAGTAAGCGCCCCGGGTTGTGAGGTAATTGGCGCTTGTGTTACTTTATTTATTTAATTCACAAACAAATTGGCCAGTTAGAACCCTGGGTTAAAAGGGGATTGGCGCTTGTGTTATTTTATTTATTTAATTAATAAACAAAGCAACCAAAAAGTGCCACGAATTGTGTGGGGATTGACGATTGTGTTATTTTATTTATTTAATTAATAAAAAAAACGGCCAGTAAGCGTTCAGGGTTGTGTGGGGATTGGCGCTTGTGTTAATTTATTTAATCAATAAACAAAGCGGCCAGAAAGCGACTCGGATTGTGTGGGGATTGGCGCTTCTGTTATTTTATTTATTATATTAATTGACAAAGCAACCAAAAAGTGCCTCGGGTTGTGTGGTGATTGGCGCTTGTGTTATTTTATTTATTTAATCAATAAACAAAGCGGCCAGTAAGCACTCCGGGTTGTGTGGGGATTGGCGCTTGCGTTATTGTTTAATGTAATTTATTAATTATTAAAGCTTGTGATACTGCTTTTAGGCGTGTTGGGTTATTGGGTTAAATAGCTTAGGATTAATGTATTAAGTTATAGTGTGTGAAATGTTGTCGAGTTATCTGGGGTTTTGTGTCTGGCTCCATATCGCCAATTTGAATTTTCCGCAAGTTTGCCAGTCACGACTGCAGAATGCGTCATGCGGAATTCGTAAAAGTCCATAAGCCACCGTATGAGTGAGAGTTGAGGTTCTATTCTGCAGCAGAAATAACCTCTCTGTCACTCCTATACGGCGGCCTATGAGCTATTCTGACCGCTGCCTTAGTGCTTACTGCTTCTGCTGCCGCTTAGTGCGGCAACCCTCACGTCTTTCAACCAATGTGACGTTTCTGCTTCTGCTACGTGCCATTTGACTGGGCAGAGCCAGAGATTAGTAGGGAGATTGCTGACTACCATGCTACGGAGTGTGCCCACTTTTTTCCAGTGGTTCGAGCGCCCCGCCGCGGCCAAGCGGCCGAACCAGGTTCACATTTTTTTTTTTTATTGAGCAGCACGGTAGGGGTATGAGAAGAGTGGATTCGCGTGGAAATGTCCATATAGGCGCACATTTTGGAGACGCGTGGAAGGGGTATACCGAATGTGCGCCTACGAGGAGAGGAGTGGAAATGTCGGCTATATAGCTGTATATATCTGAACGCACAGTCAAAGCAAGCGACGATACGAGTTTTTCTTTTTTGAGAGTCTTTGGACTCTGCAACTGAGTACATGCAATATGTATATATTTAACTGACTTGCTCTCGCTCTGGCTTCAATGTTATCCATAAATCTTATTTAATTAAATCGTGGAACTAAATGCTCATTAATTATATACACAGAATTTTGATTTCAATACATTATGTTTTAACTCTCCCGTACTCTTAAAATTCCCAAATCCATTTATGTTTTCAAAAAATTAACCATTAATTTATTAATTTCACACATCCTAACTTCTGTAAACTGTAGGACAAGCTCCGGAGGATATCCATGAACATATGTGACTTCGAAAGA